TGTTTTAGATACACCAAAAGATCAGCCAACTTAAACTTTAACATTCTAGCTGAGCACATGTATTTACAAACATGCTGTTTCCGTCAATATTAGGTTACAATGAAATACAATAAACGACATCATCAACATTCAGAAGACATGAAAGAATATGGAAGACGTACTAACTTCGATTGTTTAAATTATTTGCGTTCGTGTATCAGAGATATAAAAGGTAACTTCATAACTGATTTTTATAATGAGACTTTTTTTAAAATCAACAAGTATCTTGTACAGTTTGTTTAATACATTTATATTAGATATACACACAAGTACATCACACTAAAATTTTAATGTATCTGAGGTGCTTAGCGCAACTAATACTACGTAAGTAAATTATTATATTAAATTACTTCTACTGCTGTGTATGTGTGAGCGTGTGTGTGTTGGGAGAAGGGAACATGAGGGGCCTCTGGTGTTGAAAGGCAGAGATTGTTGCACAGAGCTTGTTCACATATGGACCTTCCAAAGTTACGTCTGGCATCAGGCAAACCTCTGGGTTCAGAAAGAGTTAATTTTGTGTGTGTTAGTGAGCAAATATAACACTGAGTATCATCTAGCGTGCCCTTAGGCGCAAAAAATGTTAATTTTTATATATCTCACAAGCGAAATTTTTATGAGTTGGGAATGAGTTGAGCCAGACTGCCCCCTGGGATTCTGAGGTAGATTCCCTACCTATATGTATGCCACTGCTAATAGTAGAGCACTGGAAAGAAACAAAATGATGGAAAGCGAAATCATAAAACTTTTTGAATATCCTGTAAAACAATTTGTTTTTAGTAAAAAAAAAATAATGTTTACGGCCCATAAGGTCAGTACTGTTTTAAGAAACATAAACATGATCCATACGGCCTACCAATAAGTAAGGAAGCAGACACCAATACAAGCAGAAACTGACCATCTCCATGACGTCATATGCAAATAACCCCGAAATATATGTACAGCTATAGCTCACTAAAGACCAATAATACAAACGACCAAACCATGAAAGAAATAACTCTGTATACTAACCGCATTTTTCATGAGGTTGTACAGTTGGACTATGGAGGAACGGCCAATGTCATCAAGAAATCGACAGGTTACTTTGCATCATCTCTGTCCAGAGTGACATGCACTTTCAGTTCCCGCATGGCCGGGGCGCCCAAAACCATCAGAATTTACTTTTCGTGCTTTTAGAAGATGTGCGAATAATGACCCGATTTAAAAAATCATTGCTCTTGCAGGACAAGTGCAAGCGTGCCCCAATATCACCAAAAATTATTTCTGTACATTGGACTACAATGACAGAGCAGCTAGAAGGAAGCCACTACTCATTACAGACAATACTGTACATAGAAACCAGTTGGCATTAAAAAAATACTATCACATTCTCCTGCCTTTTGGAATAGTAAAATTTTCGTCCAGATTTACACAGTTCTCGGACATTGGTTGCACCTGGGTTTGGCGACTGTCCTCCCAGGAACTTGTAATGAACCGTCCAAGTCACGACAAAATACGATAATATTTCTGTCACGGTGAGAGGTGCTATTTGGACAGCTGGACAATCACAGTTGGTAGTATATAAAAGGATGGTCACTGGTGCTAGATAGATACATCACACCTCCCGAGCAAACACCGATGGGCAGCTTATAAGACAAGACAGAGTTTCATGCAAGGTTAACGCTCCTGCTCAATCAGCCCGAATCGCAAAACGATGGGCTGATGGTCAGAGCATTACCACTTTACAGTGGTTAGGATAATCGCCAGATTATCTAACGTGTGTGTTCCATCCCAGATTGTTCCCCGAGAAAGCATTATATATAATTAATTTCAAGATACACCATCATCCAAGTTCTTCTTCAGGAGTAGTGTGTAATCCCATAGGCTTAGATTTCAGTAAATAAGATATGTAACCGTGTTTCTGCTTTAAGTATTGCAAAGAGCAGATCCACTAAATAATAAAATTAATCTGGAAGTCTTTGCTTCATGTTTTTATTTTATTTTTAGATAAAACGGCATTATTTCTGGAGAAGGCCTATTTACTTATTGGTAACTCGTCTATATGATATTGCCTGTCACAATTTATATTTGATCTACCTTATCTGACTCATGTACTTAACTGAAAAAGGCCTCATAACTCAGTAAATCAATGATGTCCATATTTCGAAGTACTTTTTAGTAATAATGTCACGGAGAAACCGAAATTGTTATGAACGTCATGTGTTGTTAAATCAGTTTTGATAAACTAAACTAATATGGAAGAGATCAACTAAGCTGGCTGTAGTTTTGGGGCAATAACTCATTCAACAAAACAAAAGAAAGAATTCTTAAATGGATTAAGCCTTAATAAAATGATATTGTTGTTACTATATCTTTTGAAATTATACGTTTTCACTCACGATCTATGCACGTGATAGCATATACCTCCATCACATGGATATGTTTCATTCTTTCCTTAGCATATAAAATAGCATATCATTCATAAAACTTGGTAAATATGAATAAAAGTTCATGGTGGATGCAAAATCTTGCGATATTAAATAGATGATATGGAGTTAGTCTTGCAGTATATTTTTAGTTAATTTATTGAATGCTTATTTATGTCCTGTCGTGTACTATAGTCGCAAAAAAAATCGACGATTATTGAAGTGCACGCAATGGAGATAAAAGCCAGGAAACGCCTGTTTCTTAACGGGCAATTAAGTGAGACATAACTTGTCTGTAAATTGGTTTAGTTATCAAGTCGTAAAACTTTAGGAGACGTGTTTAATTTTTCTTTTTTTTTACCCTATACCAGGTACAAAAGGGTTGCGAGTGTGCCTTGACTGCTGAAAGTCAAGAACGATGAAATATTCTATTCTGTTTCGGAGGTTGCAAGATTATTCTTAATTTCTTGAAACTATCGAAACGACACAAGAAAATGTATCCACATCTCCTGATAATAGCGAAAACCAAGGTAGTTACGTGTGGTTATGTCTGGTCTCATAACTGATCGAAATGAATTCAGTCAAGACTAGTGAATGTGAAGTTTCAAACCTCAACTGATCTTGAATTTTGACTTTGATGTACGATAGTATATGAAAAGAGCATATCGTATACATTCTCGCCAGCTTGTGCAGGATGCTGTAGTTTTGAGTAAATGTTTCGCAAAAGAGCTTCACAGCCGGAAACTTTACATATATATATATACAGGACCAACCAGACGCGAGGCTAGGAAGGCCATTTGGCCTGGGCCTCAAATTTAAACAGTTGTTAAGTTTTGCCGCTTGTTGTTTTTATGTCTCCTTTCAAATTATATTTCACTCTTTTTTCGACCTAATTATGGTTTTATTAAGTTTTTATATGTCGTCATTATTTTTATATTATGGTCAGGGGCCTCTCTGGACCTCTGAGAAGGCTTGCATATATATATATATATATATTCCCCCATATTAAACAAAAACAAATAAACGCTAATTACAAGATGTAAATGATCTAAAAATGAGCTTTGAGCCCATAGTGGAAATTGTAATTATCTAAATGTAAAACAAGATGTTTTTTCTGTGTATATTTGATACGAAAAACAAAACACCCACAACATTTCCAACAGTATTTATTAACCCTTAATATGTATGCAAAATAAATATTAATCTAAAAATACAACTCATTAGAAATGCCCTATAGATAGTTATTAAAAATACACATGGACATTGAACATCCACTCCACTTGGTTTCTAATTAAGTTTGTATGAAACAATTAATATTAACCGGAAACAAACTGTGTTCCGAACCATCGTATATAATTATGTACAATTCATTTTTAGGCACATTGTGCTGTTGTATATTAAAAGTAAAAAATAGGAAAACACGTTTTTTGATGCAATAACGATTTAAGCTGCAAATCTGTGAAAAGAAATACAGTTAATGCAATTAGCCAAATAGTCTGCAGCAAAACCAGGAACTTAGAGGTTAGGTTGATTGACTTGTAATCTGTTAGTCGCGAGATCGAAACCCTTCACCTAACATGTTCGACCTTTTTCACCGTGGGGGCGTTATAATGTGATGCCTTATCACACTATTCGTTGATAAAGGGTAACCTAACAGCTGGCGATGTCCTTCTAGTCTATTAATTCAAAATTAGGGATGGCTAGCGCAGATAGCCATCGAGTAATTTCACACAAAACAAGGAAACTCGGCGATACCTTTGGGGGGGGGGGTTACAACGCTAAAAATCGGCATTCGATCGATCCCTGCAGTGAACACTGTACACATAGCCCATTGTGCATCTTTGTACCTAACAACAAACCAACGAACCTTGACCAGACCTGTACATATCAACATAAATTTGGGCTCTCAATCGCAAACAATTGATAACCTGAGGAATGCAGCTTGATTATGACGTTTCGGATGACTGAAAAAAGATAGAAAATGAAAGACAACTGAAACGTGGTCGTTTAACTGTATTTCTTGAACCCCCTTATTCTAAGATTTTACTCATTAGTTCTTTCCAGAACTAAAGCCTGGAAGGGAAATCTCATTTTGCCCCTAATCTGTTTGTCATATATTTGTACATTACGTAGAGGTCTCATCATTATTTTATCGAAATGCTTTTTTCCCCTTCAGTGAATCATCTTATGCTACGCTTCATGCTTCAGAAAACTGAAGGATGCTAAAAAACTTTAAAGATGACTTGCATGTGCTTCATTTACCAGCAAAAATTGTGTGTGTGTGTTATTACTGCTGCACAGATCAATATGATGACACCTGAAATAGTATAGATCTTTTACTTTTGGAAAACACAAACATAAATTTTATATATTTATCACAGTGCACATAAGTAACAATTCTGTGTCTTTATGCACGTTACTCATACAAGTTCTTGGCACTAATGAGAATTCAAAATCTCTAAATCAGATAACAATATAACCAAACACAGACGCGTGCGTGAGCTCTGTGCCACAACATGTTTTTAGAAATTACTCATAAGAAGATGTATAGAGACATACCAATATTTTGGTGGTTCAGTTTGCGGCAAATCCTTGCTTCTCTTTCCAGCTTCTGGAAGTCTGAAAAAATGTAAAATGTTTAAATAATCTAGCCTTGTTACAAACAAATAATTATAAAGAATAAAATGTAGAACAGGAGATTTAGAATTAATATATTTTATCAAAAGTGGGGAAAAACTAGCTTTTATAGCGAGAACAGTCCAAAATAGATTATTAACTTGGCAGTTGGGAAGTAATCTGAAATAAATCATTAGCTTAGCAAGTAAAATGGACCAACGGTTTCAAATGGATTAGTAAATCAGCCAATACAACAGATTTGGTGAACTGGTTGAAATATATATTTAATGTATCTAGTACATTGCTTTAGTGTCAGAAACTGTTTACTAGTCAACATATTAGGTAAATAGTTCTAAAAGCTTGTACTAAACATATTGGTTCCAACTTTTACATAAACCTCTAATCACAGAATCGGAAACAAAAATAAAAAATAAAATTGTTTGGTTTGTTTTACAACAAAGCCGCATTGAGCTATCTGCTGTGTCCGCCGAGGGAATCGAACCCCGGACTTAAGCGTTTTGAGTGCGTAAAATTACTGCTGTTCCACCGGGAGAAATAAAGTTGTCATTTCCGTAAGTTGGAATTTTTCCATCACTGTCTTCTAGTAACTTAAGTATTTTGTTCCATCACACACGATTTGCTAAAAATCAAGCTCATAAGACTTATTTGGAAAAAAGAAAATGTCACGGCTTTACAGTTATAATCAGGGATGAAATTCTGCTGGTACTCACAGGAACTCAATACAGCTTTTCTTCTTCTTTTTTTAAATCTGTTAGCGAGTTTGTTTTTTTTATTTCTGCATTTCTTAGTAATCCAGTTTGAATAGTGATTGAAGCGGTATATTGATACTCCATAAACAACGAAGCCAAGTCCTAGCAAAGTGAGTACCTCTAAAGTGAATTTCACCACTGTCTATAGTTTGTACATAATATTGTACAGACACGTGAGATACACATTCCTGCATCAAGGGAATTTTTGTAGAAATTTGGTTTTTATATGTATTTACGGTTGGGTGACTTTTTCTTTCCATTAGTTTTATGAGACGCCGTTTCAAAAAAATAGAACAATAACTTTACAATTGTGTATATATATATCATTCTTGTTCTTTTTCGACCGTTTACTGTGTAGCTCTTGCATACATCATGAAATTACGACATAAATACAATTAATACTTGAAATCGTCGATACTTTGCTGGATTATGTAATTTCAGCAAAGTCAATTGTACGTTTCACAATTGCACTATGCAGCTAATTACAGGACATTATGTACAATTCTTAGACGGTTAAAGACACGACTCTTATTCTTTATGGTTTTGACTCGGATGTATTGGATTTGTAAAACTGTATGAACAATTAATGTATAAACGGCTGTCAAAAGATTTAACAGAGACAGCAACCATATATATTTTACCGACTTTGAGAAGCTATATATGTGTGTGTGTGTGTGAGCTTTCTATAAAAAAAAGAGCAAAGGTTTTATTAAAATAAGATATCTGAGATGAACATTTTATGTATGTAAGTGTTGCATTATGTGAAGTAGGAGAATTCTTAGAGTATTTCACGGCTGAATGGTGTTTGTAAGAAATAAAATTTCAATGCACATTTGCAATATGAATTTACAGAAATAGTACAAAATATGCAGAAAAATACTTTTAAAGGGATGTACCCGTCAACGTAATCTAAGTTATATGATAAACACCATATTCTGAATGTTTAGCTGACTGATAAAACAATTTTGACCTTCCTAATCGGTCTCCAGTATATCTAAGGACGTATGACGCTAAAAATCGAGTTTCGATACCCACAGTGAGCACAGTACAGATTGCCCATGATGTAACTTTTTTAAATGACAAAACAAATATTCTTAATTCAACCTGTACTTTCTGACATTTAGCAAGGTGCTTTAAAATTTTTGTCATTACGGTTTTCATTAGAATATCGACAACAAATGACGAGTTTGTTACAGTGTTGTGAATCATTTTTCACTTCGGAGTTCTAATTTTATTTAAATTCATATTAAGGGTAAGTTTGTTTGTTTGAAGTTAAGCACAAAGCTACACAATGAGCTATCTGTGCTCTTCCCACCACGGGTATCGAAACCCGGTTTCTAGCTTTGTAATTCCGCAGACATACCGCTGTGCCACTGGGGGCTTAAGAGTAAGAGCTGAAAATATCTGAATACTTTAAAAACAAAACGTTATACTGGTTTTAGCAACTGTGAACATTAGAAGAAGAATATTTTTCAAGTGTTATTTTTTGTACTTGCTTTCTTTCTGGTATTAATAGCTATATTAAAGTTACACACTCAAAATTACTCAAAAATTATTAGGGGAGTATAAAAAAATGGGATATATGTTTATATATTTCTAAAAAAAAATCACAATTGATAGAAACATTGGGAAAACCTAAGTCACATCCAAATATCTTTATGTACATTCTCGCAAACAGAAATACTGTAATATCACCATGCACACACGCTCCATTAAAAAACACACACTTCATTCCGATTTGTCCCGAGAAAAATGTACGTCTGAATATTCGAGGTTATTTCGAAATTACAGTTTCTTAAAAACCTTTTATTTGACACTTCCCGACGACCATATGAAACATACTTGTCTATACTCAGGTGAAATATTGCTTAAAACAGGAATCAGTATCTGAAATTCATGCTTAAGCTTGTTCAATTAATGATCAAGTGTGTTACACCCAACATGAAAGGACTGAGGTCATTCGAATGACTGTTAAGTGCATTTCAATCGTGTGTGTATGAAAAGGCATGTACAGAATGTTTAGAATAGTTTGAAACTAAGTACTTAACATAAAACTCATCTGTTACGTATGAATCATCTCATATCTACTGGCTTTTCTTCTTTCTTTTGTCTCCTCGATTTTCATCTATTTTTTGTCTCTAGTGAGCAACTTTCAAAATAGCTATATCTAAATGTGTTTTTGTCACATGAATTAAGATTTATGCCAGGAGCAAGAAAATGATGAATAATACGACTGTTCCAATGTTGACTAACTTATAATGTAAAGTTTAGTGTGTGTGTATATGTATGTATGTATGCATGCGTGTGTGTGTGTGTGTGTGTGTGTGTGTATATATATATAATAAACACACACACAACACACACAATAACGGACATGTCTAAATCAATAACAATGTTAACTACATTTAAATAAATAGATACGTACACAGAGACTAAGAAATTAGGTATATACGAAGGACGGACAGGTGAATATAATACTCCTAAAAACGTGAAAACTGAGACCGAGCAAGATTCAAACCCGAAACTCTGCCAATCAGTTATATGTCATACGGGTTCGAATCTCACTCTATTAACCAGTTAGTAGTCACAGGTTCGAATCCTGTTTGATATTCATTTTCCCCTTTTCAGAAAAATTACCTTCACAGAAGGGTGTGCCACACTTAAGATTTCTATAGAAAAGGATTCAGCAACACTTCACAAGAAAAAACACATACACACACACATATATATAAGTTAATAAACACGACAAACATACAAGCATCGGGTATTTACAATATAGGTTTGAAACAGTGAGCCTAAATGAGAAAATCAATAAGGCAATAGACCAATAACAGCCGAGCAATTATGTTTCTTTATGAAATACATTAGTTTATTCTTAGGTAGGTATAATTTGTAAATGCTTCTAAAAGCATACACTGTCACATTGATTAACGGGGTTGTCTGTAGATATATTGAAAAAGAAAACCCACAAGTTATGTCTTCATGCAAGAAACGACTGTAATAGGTGGTCGAAATTCTAAAAAAGTCATCTGGTGAAGAGACATGGTAGACACTAATTATTGGCAAACAACATCAAGCCAGTTTCGATCCGGTCTCTGGAAATATAACAGTGCACACGTTCGGTCATTAAGTATATATTTAATAGGTGTATTCTCCTACACTGGCTTTTACCACCTTAATAGGCACAGAGGGCAAACAAAGGTTTCGTTCATTTTATCAACAATAATTTGCTACTGTAGTAACGGGCGTTCATCGCTTATAAATTGATGAAAACGACTGTTGTGTTTCCACAAACATTATTATACCCAGTCCTTTAACACACCTTAATGTTGTTACGCAATTATTTCTGAGCGTAGCCTTTTAAAGAAATTAGTAAGATGAAAAAAAAATACGCACATTTTAACGATAACTTTAAATATCTAACTGTATGACTTGAAATAATGTCTCTGTCATTATTATGTTTTAACCAGTAAGAATATGACGTTTCTCATATAACAATTTTAGAAGAAACGCAAAAAAAAATGAAACATGTCGATACCACGAATTCTCAGTAAACTTTCTAGTACACGTCTGCTATAAACAACATATTTCACTCACAAAGGAAAGCTTATACACGCAATATGTATAACATATTGTTCGCTTATTTCTGAGAATTCAGTAACAAAACCAATATACAAACTTATGGTATGCGTATTTCCCGGTTTTAACGGTCTTGTGTTATACAGTTCATGACAGGTACGTCTATACATTCTTTTATGTTTTTATCGTTAGAAATACTTCGTCATCAGGTTTACAGATAATTTTTTATCATCACAACAAAAAATAACGTTTCATTGGGTTTGTAGTTGACTTTTTGTATAATAGCACAACATTTCAAGTAAGATCAACTTATTGGATTTATGGAGGATTTTTATTTTAGCAAAAGAACGCTTCAAGAAAAGCCTCTTTATAGTGCTAGCAGATGGAAGTTGATGTCATAAAATAACGTTTAATAGATTGTTTTTAAATCAGCATGTAAAAAAATCATCTTTATTGGATTTACAAAAGAAGTTTTGATCATAAGACGACGTTTCAGGAAACACCTCTTCGTCGATTTACAAAATAAAGGGTTTATTATGACACGTCGTTTCATAAGAAATGCTTTTGTCTTTACCGAGTTTATAATAAATTTATAATAAAAAGTTTTTAAATCATTTATTCACTGCATTTAATCATATAACACCTCCTCTATAA